AGCCTACAAAGGCAAGAAAGGTTCTCGGAATCTCTCTTGCACAACGAGAGTAAGATGGCAGCTGCATTCTCTTTACTACGAGATAGACCTGTCCTAAGAAGATCTATCAATACTGGGATTGTGCTAGTTTTTGCTATGGCCTCCTTAGCCTCTTGGTTGTTAGCTAGGACAGAAAGAATGGTCAAAGGTTCATCGACCATGCAGCTGCTTGAATCCGTTAGCATTTCCAGCAGCGCTGGTATAATCCCTGCACGAACAGCTCGACCCTTGTTTCCTTGATATATGCACAAATTAAACAATGCTGATGCAGCGTCTTTTTTTCCTCTGGTATTTCCTGTCAGAAGCAAATCTATGAGAGCTGGTATGGCTCCTGACGCGCCTATTAGTATTTTATTCTCGTTTCCAAGCGACAAACTAAAAATGGTTGCGGCTGCATTCTCTTTTGCCTCCGTGCTCCCCGCTCTGAGAACTTGAACGATAGAAGGAATGGCATCAGATAGCATTATAATCCTTTTGTTGTCATCGAATATAGAAAGGTTAAGAACGGCAGTGACTGCATTCTCTTGGATTTGCGTGTCTTCAGATGTCAACAACTTAACTAGGACTGGAATTGCTCCCGCTTCAGCAATCAAAATTCTGTTGTCTGTGCTTCTTTTGGAAAGTGAACGGATCTCGGCTACTGCAGCCCTGCAATCCTCCACGGACCTGCTTGAAAGCTTTCGGACAAGTACCTCCATAGCTCCTATTTCCCCAATAACATAGCGAAATGATCCATCACTTCTCTTTATTTTCCCATTTGCAAATACGGTTGGCTGTTGTATATTGTTCTTTGCACACCAATCGATAATTAGATTTCGCAGAGCATAGTTTGGGGTAAGCGTGAGATTGTGGAGCTGTTGCTGAGTTTTTGGGCATGTTGTGTGGCCGCCATCTATCCATTGTTGTATGTACGATCTCTCATAAGTCTGTAAGGTTACGAAACGAGTACATTGGAACAAATTCTGTAGAAGCTAAAAATTTCCTATCTAAGAAACAACCAAAGACATCCATAGACATGTTAAAGTAAAGAGTAATGGTCAAAAACACATCTAAAGTATCCGGTTGTTCGAGTTTTATACCTCAACTATCAGGTGTGCGAGTTTCCTACATGAACTTTCACTAACTATTTATCAACACACACCTCAACTATAAGTTGTTGCCTTTTTCTACATGAAATATCACCACCGTACCGTTAAGGTAGGATAAGGGAACAATGATAGTTGAGGTATGTCTTTGATAATAGTTGGTGATAGTTCAGATAAAAAATTCGCATACCGAATAATTCAGGTATGAAACTCGAAAAACCGAAACACTTTAGGCGTGTTTACTGTAATTGACCCTTCAATCTAAAGTAAATGGAGTTACACGCATATTACCTGCCCTGTGGCAGCCACAATAACAGGATCCCTCATGAGCTCAAGGGATATAGGGCAAATAAACTCTGTAGGAGTTACAGGACAGTTGGACTTTTTACTCTCCTCGTGACTCTTAAGCGGAGAGTCATCTTCCCCGAAAATCTCCGGATCACCAATACCAGACAATTTGGATGAATTTCCTATTCTTTCCGACTCCTGAAAAATCCGACTGCAATAACTTTGGTTTCGAACACTACCTCGAGGAACACGTCCAACTTTTGGCCTAACTTCATGATCAATATTGCCAATATTTTCTATATGTAAAGTTCCAATTCCACTATTTCCTGAATGGAGTAGATCAATCTCTTTATCCAGTGGTTGTGACGATGCTCGAGATAATAAGTTTGACTTCACAGGGCCACCATACTTTTCTGTGGCTCGTCTCAACTGTGCTCTGACCAATTCAACCTGGAAAAAGTAAGAAATATCAGAGGGGGAAATAGCAAAAGGACGAGCACAACAGGAAAAGATAAAAGGCAAAGCTCAACGCAAACCTGCTCTTGTACTTCTTCTGATATGTCAAAATGATCATATGGGAAGTTACCAAGGGCTTTCTCCAATTTCCATGTAACACATTGAAACCGGAAGTTTATTTTCTTCACTGCGACATCCTTGAGTCAAGAAAAAGCACATATTAGAGAGGTATAACACACTGCCTTGGATGAGGATTGAGACATCATTAAATAATACAGAGACCTCAACAAGGAAGAAAAAGTTGTTTTTCTCAATTGTCAATGTGATTAACACAGGCAATCTGTTCCATTTCCACATTTTGGAGGCACAAGTTGGATATATAACCAATATAGTGAACCCAAGGGTCCAACCTAGCAGTCAACGAAGTTGGAATGGATCATGGGAAACCAGCGTTCAAATCTGAACAGAAGCAAAAACTACATGCACGCTGGCACAAATACCACCAATTTAAGAATTTTTTTTAGCAGAATCATTAGTCGGCTACCAATGAAATTGTACCAAGATTGACCATAGTCTTGATTCCTAGACCAAATCGAATAGCTTCCTAATTTTCTATGGACAGATCATCTAAATTTAAATGCAATCATTTAGACTGCTTAAGGATTACTCTTGGACTTTGTCCAACTGATAAGCAGTGAGTTGTAAGAGCTAAGGCCTCACAAGAAAATTGGACTTAACAGAATAAAAAAGAAGTGCATCGAATAAGATGATCGGGAGCATAATTTGACGACATAGCTGATATTCGAAGGTGGTTGAATAAAACTAGAAACATTGTTGACCCATGTCACGGTTTCACTAGCAAAGCTTAAGTTCATGGCTCGCAAAGTCAAATTAAGTGACAAAAAGTTATTTAACCAGAAAACTTTTGTTTACAGATAAATCTACAATTCCTAGTTGAATCAGATGAATCTTTCTTGGCAATTCTACCATAGAATTTAAAAATTGTGGTTGTTCATCAATGTATGCATATTCACAACTAAGCATAAAAACTGAATGGACGGATCATATTTAACAGCACGCACATTTCTTTCAATTTAGGGGCGTAGCTAGGCTATAAGGCAGAGGCAGAGACAAACTATAGCTTATGGGTTCAGCCAAATCTAGAAACTTACTAAGATTCCGAATCCATAAGCTTCAAATCTCGACTCCACCTCTGACATAATGGGAATCAACAAATAGACCAAAAGATTGAAACTTTACAACACCAAATGCAAAATATGACAACATGGGATTTAACACATATACCAAAAGATTGGAA